TTGGCCCTGTAGTTGTATTTAGACTTCTCTAGATGCTCGTGACTTGTGACATCCCGGTCGGGTTGTGTTGGGTTGTAAATACTGGTTAGTATTGTCGTTAAACTGTATTTATCTATTCATTTATGTTTAATAATTGTTAAAGAGACGGTTTGGGTTAGTTAGCTGGCCTTGTCTTCACGAGAGGCGCCATCACGACCGGGTTGGAAATTGGGTCGTGATAAGTATTTGTTTGAGAGAAATTAAAAGAAAAGAAAATATATAAAAACGGACGGTGAACGAAAAAGAAATGGTGGGACCGTGTGTAGTACGTGTCACATGAAAGCAACTGCAATCTCAGACCGAGAGTCCAACTAACAAATTAACGACCTCCCTTTCATTTCTTTGAGGAAAAGCAAATCAAATTTAACCTTCACCCCATCCTATTTTCCTTGTGCATTTGGAGACAAGGAGGCAAAGTGCCTCCTCCGTTTCTCTCTATGTTTGCATCTCAATCAACAACAAGCTCTGGTATTTTCAATGTCCTTTTTTCATTCATGCGTTTCCTTGATTTATTCTCTTTAATTTTCTCATGCGTCATTCTTATATAGAACGGACGTGGGCTTTACCGTGCTCCTTGATCCTCTTTATTAATCTCCCTTCCATTTTTCTTTTCTTTCCCAATTCCAAAAAGGCATTTATCAACTTGAAATATCTTTAGATGGATTGCCCAATCAATTATTTGGTGATTGCTTTTTTCTTTTTTGGGTGGTATAACCATATGGTATTCGAAAGTACCAATCCAGATTCATGCCGCCTAGGGCCCCATTTAAGGGCCCGGCTCCGTGCTAGGAGTTTCTCCATTCTTAGTGAAGAAAGATATCATGAGTTGTATAAAAAGGAAACTTTTTTACAGTGCGTGGATCCTGTCCCTTGGACGACTTGAGTAATGGGAGAATGGCAACTGGGCCCTGCAATGATAGAACCTCATGAACCGGGCATACTACTGATGAACCCGAGCTGATTGCTGGTTACCTTTGTCAATACCCAAACTCTTGAATTGGAAAAAGCCTTGTATTTTATCTTACATCTAATCGCCATAATCTTAGACATATCATTAAGATTTGTAACCAAAAGATGACTTTGGCAAAAGAAAGAAACAATCCCATTCATTGTTTCCGCGCGTACATTCAATCATCTAATTACATTCTTCATTCATTGCATTATAGACTTTTGTTAAATGTATGGCACGATTTTTCGGTTGTTTTTCCAGAGACACTTAGTTATTTGCAGCTTCCTCAAATGATTAGCCAGTATTTTGCATTCTTACTTGCAGATCTTCATGCTTCTTCCTTGTGTTGGATGCTGTGAAGATAATTAACTTCAAAAATGGCTTCGGTTAGCTTCAAATACTGGGATGATTGTGTGGATCCTCATGATCTGGAAGCCATGTGGGCCGATCCAGATGTTAGAGCCGAATGGCTTAATGCTGGTGAAACTAAGGGATCAAAAGTCCACCTCTCACGTGATCCTGATGGTCAGCCTTATCTAACTCAAACAGAAATGAAGGTTGAGCTGTTTAGACAGTCACTGTCATTCACACAGAATATGACTCTTCTTTTTGTGTATTCATGTCGAGTCAATGAATTTTGTACTCAATTTCCTTAATTTGCTGGACAAGATAACTAGAGGGAAATATTGCTATTCCACAAGTTTCTCATAACTTGTGTTTGCGGGATATATAACGTTAATACTATATCCTCTATGCATTAGTCTCTCCAACCAATGATGTCTTAGAATCTCTTCCAGAAGTTATGTTTAGCTTATGCATTTGACAGCATAGTTTACCTGCAAAAGTTATTTTCTGAATTATTCCTTCTATTTTTCTTTACAGGCAGTAGCAGGTATTATAGTCCGAAGACATTTCCTATCGCAGATTGATTCGGTATGATGTCCAAGATCTTGAATGTCTACTACTACTACATGTTATAGAGAATTAGTGACCAAACTCAGAATATAATGAAATGTTCTAAATATTGTTTGCTAAAACTTTCTGTTGTTTTGCATCACAAGGGGCACTGTAATGTTGATGAAGTTGGGGGAGGGGGGGAGGGGGGGATAGTGTTTCAGTGCATTCTCTATTTCCAAAGGGCTAGATAAATGAATAAATGCGGATGAGATTAATTGTCGAGACCCGTTCTTTTAGTGCATGATAAATGGCAGACAGCAGTCAGCTAAACATAGCATCAAAGTCTCGTTTAATAGCATCTTTCTACTAAAGACCTTTTTAATCATCAACAACCGGAACACTCAAAGTATTTTGTTTTCTCAATTTCATCTACAACTGTTAAAGCCTTTTACTTCATGTAAATTTTGATCTTGTGGGTGACCTTGTTCTCTTTAAACTAGAATGTTAATACTCCTCATCCACTTAGAGTTTTTGGTGTACGCTATGATGCTATTTTATACCTTACATGCTTTACGCAAGCTTCATGAAGTCTAAGTGAGGACTACTTATACAAGTAAGTGCCTCGTCTCCACCTAGAATATCTCTGTGTCTCAACCTGCAACTTTTGCTAGGTTGCTTAGTCAAAATTGAAGTCTTCTCATCTTAGAATATATATGGGGCAATTTGCATCTCTTTGAGGATGAATCAATTGATTTTAGCAATTATCAACACCTTCTCGGTAGTTCTCCAATGAGGTGGCCTTCCCATATTTTCAGGATATGCTTTGCGCTATTGCTGAGCTTGAAAGTGACCGGCAGCTTCTTGCAACACGGTACAATAAAAAATCAAAAGAGATTACTATGGGAATTATGCAGATTTTGCCTAAAACTGCAGACTGGTTGGTGAGGTAGTCATTTCCTTTTATCTTGTTGAGATTTTGGGGAATTATGCAGATCATCATACCAAACCGGACTTGTCTGCTTCATTTTTTTGTGTATGGTTGAAATAAGCTTAATTTACACTTTGTTACAGTGATTTGGGTTACCGAACATATGAGGTGGCCGCAGATTCGAAACTTCTTTACAAGCCTTTTGTAAATGTGTACCTTGGCGCTGCATATCTAAAGTGGTTATCAAATTATGGAGAGAAGTAAGTTGATATGGTCATTTCTTCTTTACATATCTTCTTTCTATTTCATGTATCTTACATGTATTAGTTCTAAGGAATCCTAAAGATATTCTAACCAAGTACATAACTGTGGAACTTTATGAACAGGGAGAGAAGTGAAGAGTTCATGGTGAGAGCTTACAAGGCTGGTACTAAGAAGGCAACCCATAAGTCCACCTTACCATTTTGGAGAAGCTATCTCTCCGTCAAAGAAAGTCTACCATCGAGGTAGCTGTTTGCATGCCATGATTTCCTTGCTGTTTGAAATTATTTCTACAT